GTTATTGTGTTGTTCCCCCTCACCCAAATCTCCAAGTGCATGCTCACCATTGATTGGGACACCCCCTATATTGTTAGTAAGCAAGGGTTGGTTTAGAGATTCAAGAGGAGCGTTAGGGATACCGACGGCGTGGAGATATTTTGGTGAAGGTTGTGATGTCTCGCGGTCTGATTGTGCTCCAAGATGACGAATGGTTGTGAGTAGGTGCATAAGAGGAGCATTGTGGTCCTTCCCACGGTCTGTAAGGTTTTCCAAATCTTGCCAATTCTTGTCCCCGAAATAGCTGAGCTCCTCATGAAACTTGACATCCCGACATGTATATATTCGATTGGTTGGAGGGTGAAAACATGTGTATCCTTTTTGGTTAGCTGGATATCCGAGAAAGATGCACCGGATACTCCTAGGATCAAGTTTGGTGCGTTGCCCTTCATCTATACGAGCAAAGCATACACAACCAAAAACACGTAAGTGATCAAAAGAATCACGACGATTACAGAGTACCTCATATGGTGATTTGTCGTTGAGCACTTGAGTTGGTAAGCGATTGATTAGATAGCAGGCCATTTTCACTGCATCACTCCAATATGTTTTGGGAACTTGGCGATGAAATAGGAGAGTTCTTGACACTTCCATCAAATGACGGTTTTTCCTTTCGGCAACACCATTTTGTTGTGGGGTATATGAGCAAGATCTTTGATGTATAATGCCTTCTTGAAGTAGGTATTCCCTAAATTTACAACTCATGTATTCACCTCCATTATCTGTTCTCAAACATTTTATCTTAACACCAAATTGATTAGCTACATAAGCAAGATAGTTTTTCAATGCACCAAACACATCACTTTTCTGTTTTAAAAGTGTTATCCATGTATACTTGGTTTTTTCATCAATAAAAGTCACAAAGTATTTGAAATTATCACGAGAAAAGCAAGGAGCAGTCCATACATCCGAATGAACTAAATCAAAAGCATGCTCATAGATAGTAGAGGAAATCGGAAAAACCGTTCGACAATGTTTCCCTAAAGTACAAGCTTCACAAATGTGTTCAAATGACTTAACGTTGGGAACAAGTAAATGTAAAACTTTAGAGTGTGGATGTCCAAAGCGAGCATGCCACACACTAGGTGAAACGGAGAAAAAACTAGAATGAGATTCTGCGATGTAAAAGAGATTGCCCGTCCTTGTGCCATTTCCAAACACATGGTCTGAGTTAATATCCTGAAATGAGACACCATTAGTATCGAAAATAACACGACAAGGATTCTCTTCAACAAATTTAGCAATGGACAGAAGGTTAGCATGAAAATCCGGTATATATAAGGCTGTGATATCACGATTAAAAAGTCGAATTTTACCAAAACCTTTGACAGGAACATTCTTACCATTTGCAACTGATACCACTCCAATACTTGGTGTTATACTCTCAAACCATTTGGCATCACAAAACATATGGGTTGTTGCACCCGAGTCAATAACAATAGAGGATAGTATAGAAAGATTACCAGTCTCTTTGTTGAGAGATTGAAGAAGTTGTTTAAGGCCTCTCATCTCATCAGTTGTGAGGCTGATGGTTCCATCGTTTGAAGTGGTATCATGACCGGCGGTCATTGCAGAACCGCGACGAGGAGCGTCTTTATACCTTGATGGTTTTAGATGAGGATTAACCACCCAACAGCGGTCTTTGGTGTGCCCTTGACGTTTGCAATGCTCACAATAAAAGGATTTTCTGTCCCTTGGAGCATAGTTATTTGCAGTAGGTTTTGTAGTGTAATGTGCAAGCTCATGAGGACCGGTGAATAAATTTCGACCTCCCTCTTCCCTCTTAATCATCATACATACCTCTTCAAATGTTGGAAGCTTAGGTTGTCGAAGTACATAATAAATCAGATCATTAAATGATGCATTAAGAGTGGTAAGAATGGAGAACACCTTGTCTTCTTGAGCTCTTTCCATAACGATTTGTGGATCGATAGAAGTTGGCCTAATTTCTTCAAGTTCAGCCCATAAAGCAGAAAATTCGCCTTGAATCTTGTTGAATGGCTGATCATTCTGCTGTAGGTGAAAAAGTTTCTTTTTTAACTCAAAAATTCGACTAACATTGGAAAGGTTACCGTAAACATTCTGCAGGGATTCCCAAAGCGATTTTGTTGTGTCATGGGAAATGAAAGACTGCAGAAGATAAGGTTCCAGGGAGCCTTGAAGTATAACCAAGGCTTGACTATCCTCCTGTTTCCATTTGTTAAAATCGAGCACACTTTGTTGATTCCTTTGCATTCGTTGTTGTGCTTGTTCCGGTGTCTCTCCTTCAAATGCCACTTCTTGTGGGGGAAAGAACCGTTTTTCGGTTGAAACATGCTCCCACAATCCTTTGCTGTTGAGAGCTGTTGTTGCAGCTTTTGTCCAGTAGAAGTAGTTTTCACCATTGAGGGTGATAGGAATGAGTTTTGATTGAGTATCCATAGGCTTTTCAATTGAAAAATGTAAAACAAAAGGGTAGGAAATGGGTTGAGAACACTAGCAGACTCCTCTTTCTATCAAAGAAAGATAAGAAGGAATTTGCTTTGGTTTATGCAGCGGAATAGAAATATATTTGGAACAGAGGGGTCTTGGACCTTAATGCTCTGATACCATAAAGATTTTCTGCAAATTTGGTGCTTAACAATGAAAGAAAGATGGGAGAAAGAATGGTTGAATATAGAGTGACGAAAATAGATGAATGGAGAGAAGTTCTTTTGTATTCAACTTGTTAATTTGAATGAGATGTACATCAGATATAAATAGGAGAAAAACTAGCTGTTGGGGAGACAACAAAGTAACATCTAGGAGAAAAAGAGCTAGGTGTAGGGGAGACAATAAAGTAAAAAGGCAACTAAGCATGGAGCATAAAGTATGGTCTAGATATTAGCAAAGAGCTGTTGCAATCCCATTTATTAGAGCATGGGGAGAAGGAATGCAGCATCTTCAATAGGTATTTTCGTGCTCCTCTTTGCTTGTAACACAAGTGATCAGATTTGGTTTCTTCTTGGTGAAGTTATCCTCCAAATCTTCACAATTAGTCTTCGTTCCAACTGTATCATGTATTTCAACATCACCCGTAACACATTCGTCGTTCTCTTGTCTTTCAACATTCCCCCTCAAGATTGGTCGGTGGAATTCTATGAGGCCAATCTTGGAGAGGATCCTGTTAAGAACAAAAGAGCTGGTAGCCTTCGTAAGTATATCTGCTAACTGATCTTGGCTTCGTGTGTACTTTGTTGCTATAAATCCTTGTGTGATCTTCTCTCGAATGAAATGACAGTCCACCTCAATATGCTTCGTCCGTTCATGAAAAACTGAGTTTGCTGCTATGTGTAACGCCGCCTGATTGTCACAATGTAAGGGTGTCGGATTTTCTGTCTTGACTCCAAGATCCTTTAATAGCTGTTGGAGCCACACTATTTCGCTTGTTGTGTTCGCCATAGCTCTGTACTCCGCTTCTGCGCTTGATCTTGCCACCACCGTTTGTTTGGGAGAAGGAATGCAGCATCTTCAATAGGTATTTTCGTGCTCCTCTTTGCTTGTAACACAAGTGATCAGATTTGGTTTCTTCTTGGTGAAGTTATCCTCCAAATCTTCACAATTAGTCTTCGTTCCAACTGTATCATGTATTTCAACATCACCCGTAACACATTCGTCGTTCTCTTGTCTTTCAACATTCCCCCTCAAGATTGGTCGGTGGAATTCTATGAGGCCAATCTTGGAGAGGATCCTGTTAAGAACAAAAGAGCTGGTAGCCTTCGTAAGTATATCTGCTAACTGATCTTGGCTTCGTGTGTACTTTGTTGCTATAAATCCTTGTGTGATCTTCTCTCGAATGAAATGACAGTCCACCTCAATATGCTTCGTCCGTTCATGAAAAACTGAGTTTGCTGCTATGTGTAACGCCGCCTGATTGTCACAATGTAAGGGTGTCGGATTTTCTGTCTTGACTCCAAGATCCTTTAATAGCTGTTGGAGCCACACTATTTCGCTTGTTGTGTTCGCCATAGCTCTGTACTCCGCTTCTGCGCTTGATCTTGCCACCACCGTTTGTTTTTTGCTCTTCCATGTAACCAAGTTTCCTCCAACAAAGGTGCAGTATCCCGTTGTTGATTTTCGATCCATCCTATCTCCAGCCCAATCAGCATCACAATAGGCCACGAGCTCGGTATGCTTGTTGTTTTCCATCCATATGCCTTTGTTTGGTGTTCCCTTTAGGTATTTGAGTATGCGGTCCACCATTTGCCAATGCGTCGTAGTTGGAGAGTGCATCCATTGACTAACCTGATGAACAGCAAAGCTTATATCAGGACGTGTAATTGTAAGGTAGATTAGCTTACCTACAACGCGACGATATTGTTCCAAGTCTTGGAATGATTCCCCCTCGCGTTGATCCTTGAAGTTCTCTTCTATAGGCGTGCGCACCGGTTTAGCTCCGAGTTTACCTGTTTCTTTTAGTAAGTCAAGAATGTATTTACGCTGTGACAAAGAAGACTTGAACTTGCAGATTCCTTAGTGATTTTCGTCATGGACTTGGGCTGCAACATTTGGGCCTTCATTTTGGGCTCTCCACACTTGAAATCATGTTGAAAATGGGCTGGACTTGTATATGACTTGATCCAAGTTGATTTCCCATGTGTTTTTGGCCCAAACAATCAAGAAAAAGGCCATTTAGAGCAGCTTGGAGTTCCCTTGATTTTGACCTCGTCATGGGTCCACTCGAGAAGACGAGATGATCCGCATTGCTATCCTGCTCCGCATCATTCCCCTCCACTTGAAAAGGATTTTCCCTCAAATCTGCTTCTGTATCTGCATGGAAACGAGTCAAGTCACTAACATTGAATGTTGAACTAATGTTATACTCACTCGGAAGGTCGATCTTGTAGGCGTTGTTGTTGATTCTCTCCAAAACTTGAAATGGTCCAGCTCCTCTAGGCATCAACTTTGATTTTCGCTCTTTTGGGAATCTTTCCTTGCGCATATGAATCCAAACCCAATCTCCAGGTTCAAAAATCACTTCCTTTCGTCCTTTGTTGGCATGCCTTGCGTATTGCTCCGTCCTTTTCTCAATATTCAGCTTGGCGGCCTCATGAATCTGCTTAACAAACTTAGCCTTTCTTTTTCCATCAAGGTTAGCATGCTCAGAACATGGCAAAGGAGTCAAATCCAATGGAGTCAAAGGATTAAAACCATAAACAATTTCAAAAGGCGAAAAGTGAGTAGCGGAATGAGTCGATCGATTGTAAGCAAATTCAACATGAGGTTTGCATTCTTCCCAAGTTTTAAGATTCTTTTTCACAATGGAACGCAAAAGTGATGATAGGACACGATTCACAACTTCAGTTTGCCCATCTGTTTGTGGATGGCAAGTTGTAGAGAACAACAATTTAGTCCCAAGTTTTGACCATAACGTTTTCCAAAAATAACTCAGAAATTTGACATCACGATCAGAAACAATGGTCCTAGGCATGCCATGCAGTCGAACTACTTCTCGAAAGAACAAAGAAGCAATATTGTGTGCATCATCAGTTTTGTGACATGGAATGAAGTGCGCCATTTTTGAAAATCTATCCACAACCACAAAAATCGAATCTCTACCAGTCTTTGTCCTAGGTAAACTAAGAACAAAATCCATGGATATATCAGTCCAAGGCTCACTAGGAATGGGCAAAGGAGTATACATACCATGCGGTTGAAGACGAGACTTAGCTTTTTTGCATGTAATGCATCCACCACAGATCTTTTCCACATCCTGTTTCATGTGAGGCCAAAAGAAATGCTCCTGCAAAATTGACAATGTCTTGGTGATCCCGAAATGTCCCATTAACCCACCACCGTGAGCTTCCCTAACAAGCAATTCTCTCATGGAACAGTTAGGCACACAAAGTTTATTTTCTCGAAACAAATAATCTTCATGCCGAAAGAACTTTCCACTAGCAGATAACACGCAAGATTCATACACATCTCTGAAGTCATGATCATTAGCGTAAAGTTCTTTGATGTGTTCAAACCCTAGCATCTTAGCATCAAGAGTAGAAATCAGAACGTACCTCCTTGACAATGCATCGGCAACGACATTTTCCTTACCTTGCTTATACCGAATGACATATGGAAATGTCTCAATGAACTCTACCCACTTTGCATGTCGTTTGTTCAACTTGTGTTGCCCTTTCAGATGCTTCAAAGATTCATGATCAGTGTGAACTACGAATTCCTTCGGCCACAAGTAATGTTGCCATGTTTGCAAAGCGCGAACCAACGCATAAAGCTCCTTGTCATAAGTTGGGTAGCTCAAAGTTGCTCCACTTAGTTTCTCGCTGAAGTACGCAATTGGTCTTCCTTAAAGGAAGTGATTTTTGAACCTGGAGATTGGGTTTGGATTCATATGCGCAAGGAAAGATTCCCAAAAGAGCGAAAATCAAAGTTGATGCCTAGAGGAGCTGGACCATATAGAGTGGAATTACAACATTATGTCGAAGTTGAAGAACTGTTGCATTTGGCTATCAAATGTGAGCGACAGCTCAAGAGGAGAGCAAATTCACGTCCAACTTATAGCAAAGGATCATCTAGCATGAGATCGAGCTTTGTTAAGGAGGAAAAGTATGCCCCTGGATCAAAACAAGAAACAAAGCCAACCACATCAAACCAAGGGAATCGAGGTAAACCTGAATCTTCTACTGCACGCAATCGAGATGTTAAATGCTATAAATGCTTGGGCAGGGGCCATTTTGCTAACGAATGTCCCAATAGAAGAGTTATGGTGTTGCGTGATGATGGTGAGATAGAAACAGAGGGAGAAAGTGACGCCGAATCTATGCCATCATTGGAGGATGATTTTGAGGAGCAACTACCTGCCAAAGGAGAGGCATTGGTGATAAGGAGAATTCTAAATCTCAAAGCAAAAGAAGAAGAGGTAGTGCAGCGGGAGAACATTTTCTATACTAGATGCCTTATTCAAAATAAGGTATGTAGTGTGATTATTGATGGGGGAAGCTGTATGAATGTTGCTAGTGCTACAATGGTGGAGAAGTTGAACCTGCAACCAACCAAGCATCCTAAACCCTATAGGTTGCAATGGTTGAATGATAGTGGAGAGGTGAAAGTCTCCAAGCAAGTGAGAGTTCCGTTTTGCATTGGAAAGTATGATGATGAAATCCTCTGTGATGTAGTTCCGATGCAGGCTAGCCATTTGTTGTTGGGCAGGCCATGGCAGTTTGATAGACGTGTGCAACATGATGGCTACAGCAACAAATACTCGTTCGAATTTAAGGGAAGCAAAATCAGACTTGTTCCTTTAACTCCGAAGGAAATTTATGAAGATCATATCAAGCAGGAGAAAACACATGAGGATGGCAGCAACGTCTTGAGTGACCATGAGGTAGATCACAAAAATGGAGAGTTCTTGAGAAAAACCCAGAAACAGACCTTTGAGAGCAAACCCGAGAGGAAACAAAAGAATTTCTTCATGAGAGCTTGTGAGGTTAAAAAAGCTTTGTTTTCAATCTCAAAGCAAAAGAAGAAGAGGTAGTGCAGCGGGAGAACATTTTCTATACTAGATGCCTTATTCAAAATAAGGTATGTAGTGTGATTATTGATGGGGGAAGCTGTACGAATGTTGCTAGTGCTACAATGGTGGAGAAGTTGAACCTGCAACCAACCAAGCATCCTAAACCCTATCGGTTGCAATGGTTGAATGATAGTGGAGAGGTGAAAGTCTCCAAGCAAGTGAGAGTTCCGTTTTGCATTGGAAAGTATGATGATGAAATCCTCTGTGATGTAGTTCCGATGCAGGCTAGCCATTTGTTG